TGCTAAAATGATATTTCCAGATATAACTTTTCTTTGAAAGCCTGTGCTAGTTTGATGGAGGCTAGGAGGAAAGAAATACAAAAAGAAAAAAAGATGCTCGCAGTGATTGACAATTACAATTGCATTGAAGGGCTCACGGGCGGATCTACAGGGTGGGGGGGGGGGCTTTCGGGCTGAAGCCGCCCCCAAAATGGGAAAATATAACCATGTTTTATCGAGAAAAAAAATATTAAAAAATTATCTCTCAAAGTATTACTGTTCGTGTAATTACATATAAAAGGGCTTTAGGCCCTCCCCCAAAATTAAATCCTGGATTCGCTAGTGGAAGGGCTTATACCAGCAAAAATACCTGAACTGCAACCTGACTTTGATCCAAATATTACTCAAAGAAAATTAGGATTTTGTCCTCAAATTGTGTTAAATATCCAGACAGTAAAAGGAGAACATAAAGTTAATTCTTCTGTCAAAGCGATCATTTTAGGAGAATCATTGCCTGGCCATCGAAAGGAAGGCGGAACTGATCTCAGTGAAGAAACACAGACTAAGGAAGAAAAAAGCTCTGATGAATTAGGTTTTAGACCATTCATTGATGATCCTGAAAAACAAGTAATATATGAAAGATATCTCAGCTTTATCAAGATAGGAGCTAATGATGCTTTGAAAGATATTCAACCTAAGAAATTGCCGCCAGAAATAGTAAAAGAGGAGAAAGATAAAAATGATGTCATTTGAATTCAAAATGTAAATGATATTCAAAATTCATCAATTGCTGATATGGCTATTGCTCCTGAACTAATGTATGGTCCCTCACTACTGACCAAATCAATTTTCATAGAGAAAACTGCAACAAATGAAGGCAGTGACTCCCATTCTTCATATGAAATAGAATGGGTCCAAAAAGTTACTTGTAAGAAAAAAAGAAACATTCAAAAAAGAGAAAAAAAAGAAGGAAACTCTGGGGTCTGAAGACTGAAGGATGTTCCTCTGGTTATGTTTTACTATTTTCGAATCTTAAGAAACAATTCAAATTTCCTCCGGTGAGAGGTTGTTAGGAATTCAGTCAAAAGTGATGTTCATTTTATAAATATTTAAATTATTTCACGTTATTAAAAAATATCCATATGTGAAACACTACTATTGTTGTAAATTGAGTCTAAAAAGTTAAAAAGTCTAAAATGTATTTGTAAAGTTTGTATTGGAATAAAAGTGAGTTTATTTCAATACAGGGTAGTGAAATTTATTCTATTTGAACCTAGGGATCAAATATTACGGTTAGTTATATATTGAACCTTAACTGGAAGAAGCTGTGTCTTGTCATATAACGTAAACAGATAAAATAAATAATAAATAAAAAACCCACTTGACTTAATCACAGCAATGAGTCAAAATTTTACCTTAGCTGTTAGACAACGGGGCACAAGTTATTGTTTTTAGCTGAATAATTTTTTTTTCGTCGGTTGTAAATTGTTACATGAAATAAAAATGTGAATATTATTATGAATAATTAATATTTATTGAGTTGGTTTAAGGAATTTGTCTCCTTTTTTTATGTTTGCATTCTATTAGAACTTCCAGCATGCTGATACTAAATTGCTTGCTTTCCTGTTTCACATAATATTATTTAAAATTTTCATTTTTTTTTTTGTATGTATTTTTATTCACTATGCACTAATAGGATGCTTACTAAATATATGTATCTAACAGTTATCCATTTTGCATTATAATATATATTATATTTTGTAGACATTTAAATGAATTAAAGTTTTATTGCCATATGGAAAGAAATAATAATATTTTATATGGCTATATTAATATGAAACTCCTCCTTTGTATGATTATATTTATCAAAAATAATAAAATTAAATATATATATATATATATATATATATATATATATATATATATATATGTATATAATAGATACTTAAGAATTAAGAATATGTCACTGTAAATTACAGAGATAATGTATATTGATAATTGTGGATATATGGTTAACTGTAGTGAATAATTGAAGAGAAGAATCGTTATGGTGATCCGTAAAAAAAATAGTAGAAATAAATAATTATATTTATTTTTACATACACCGGCATTTCGGCCTATTGTTCAGGCCTACATCAGGGCTGATCAAGTGAAGAGCTGTCACAAGACTAACCTTTTTTAATGGATCATCCCAACCATTCTTCTCTTCAATAATCCATATTGCTTGAAAACAAAAATATTAATAAAATAATCTAGGCTGTTTCACCATGTTTTATTATTTTTGCTACCATGGCTACGCTTCGGCTTCAAGTGCCATTTTCAAGCTATGATTTATGTTGTATCAGACAACTATATATGTAATATGGCTTGAAAATGATGTTGAAAGCCAAAACGTTGCCATGTCAGCAAAAATAATAAAGAATGGTGAAATATATACAGCATATATTATTTTATTAACTATTTAGAACTTCACCTCAAAAAAATAAATAAATAACAAAATAATAACTTGTTCCTATTTAGAATTTAATAACGTCAAGAAAATGAATATAAATATTTCAAGAAATATTTCTATTTTACATAGCCTATCATTTGGTGGAAATATAATATATATTGAAATGCATTAATGGATGCAACAATGTCATTAACTAATGAAATTATTCAAAACTAACATTTATCAAAACAATCACTAAAAAATAAATAAATAAAATGTAAAAATATTTCTTAAATATAAAATATTTTTACTAAATTCATCACTAATAATGCTTTTCTTGATAGTAATACATAATTAGGAAGTATGTATTTGATTAGATCTAGTTTCTTAGATGTTTAGGTTATCATTAATTCATTATTAGTATCCCTGCATTTTTTATAGTTTTGTAATAACTAGTTTAAAAAAGAAGGAAACTTAATACCACCTAACATCCTTAGTGTGAAATTCATTACTCATTAAAATCTTAAATCACACATACCTACATATTATTTAGTTAAGTCAGGGTATCTTACATTTGTAAAACAAAACTTATTGAAACCTAAGATTGCTATCGTTGGTTTATAAAAACATCATTAAATTTTTTAATTCTTATATCAGAAATATTTATTTTTTTCACTTTTTTCTGGGTACCAAAAACATTTGTTCTAAAAGAAATATTGATAAAAATACATTAATTAATGGACAATGCAAAGTTTGCATAATATTTCTGTTCTTTTGAATTATAATCTAAAAGGAACTCTATAAAAATTCTGAAACTGCAACTATATGGTTATATATATATAATAATGTATACCTAAAACAGCGTATGCCTATAATGCATTGCTATAAACAAAAACAGATTGGTTTTAAATTGAGTCTTTTTTTGAATTTTGTTCAAAATTTACTTCATTAGTTAGGAATTCAATCATTTTATGAATCGATTCCCACCATGTAAAAAATATGTGTTTCTATTTGCAGACCAATGGGAAAATTTTAGTGTTATTATGTTGACTAGGTAGATTTTTAAAGTATTACTCAAGTATTTATTTTTAAAATATTGAAACTTATTCATTTATCTTTTAACTCACTGTTTCATTGTTGTCTAATATTATATTCACCGTCACCTTCTTTGTATGATATAATGTATTTCATAATTGGCATAACAGTAAGTCTTTATGATTCAATACCAGTATTGTAACTTTAAAGGCAATAATGATTGTTCATCAATCACAGTGTGTAGGAACAAATGGGTTTAATACACTATTTTTGAAAAAAAAAAAAAAGGAATATTTATTAATTTGGGAAAGGGTTTCCAATCACCAGTCTAAAAGTTATAGGTAAGGGAATTCGTGCTCTTCTTATATAAAGTTTGAAAAAATGATATAATAATAAATTTTTATGTAATGATTACTATTTTAGTTGATTTTTTAAATTTTTTTATTAGTAACTACACTATAAAATGAATCTAACAGATTGTAATTTTATGCGTTAAAAAATATCAAAAGAATTATATTAAATGATTTTTCAAAAAATATGTTATTTAGCCAGTGCATTGAATGTCTATAAAGGATGTTAGAGGTAAACTAGTTATTACTCAGAGCGTTTAAATATCAGCTGACCATTCATTAAAAATACAACATTTTATAAGAAAACACTACTAAATTTCTCAATAACTACTTCATTATTTTTATAGATGCTTAAATAATTTTTTAGCAATATTTCATTTTACTTCTCAGTCTTCAATTTACCCTACTTTATGTTTTATTATTATAATTTTGTTAAAACTATGATATTACCTTCTTAACTCTATCTATTTTATCTAAAAAGCTTTCCCTTAATTTATTTTGCTAGTTTTAGAAAATTTTAATTTTTATCATTGTTACAATTTTAATTATTAGACTCTATGAATGCCTAATGCTTGATGTAGTTAATTTAAATAGAATTTTTTTTTGTAAAATTAAAGTAATAAAGAAAGAAATTTTATTGACTGAATTCATCGATATAAATCTCTTTAACATGCTTCTTTGTCGATATTTTATATGGATATTATTAATTGTTTAGCTTTTTAGTTAGATATTACAATTTCGAGTAATGACCTGTACATATTTCAGCTTTTGAAAGTATGTGTATATTCATAACAATACTTTTTAACTGTAATTCAAAAAACGTGACTAGACTTATCAGTTAAATTAGTCATTTCATATTTGTTAAATCATTCGTACATCAGCTTTAATTTTAGGTTTCTCTATTCTTATCGTTCTCACGTTTAAATATTCACAATTATATTTGTGATCCATTATATTATTATCCGAATAACTCCTAATGCACTTTGTAATTCTCAATATTAATTTTATACAAGGAATAGAATTCAATATGAAAATTACAACATTTTAGTAAACTTGTTTACAATGAAATATTTATATCATTAAAAATACAGAGATATAACTTTCACTGTTATTTCAGTCTGGTCAGCTGAAAAATGCTCTAAGTTATTAAATTTTAACATTTCATAAGTGTTAGCAGCGCTTCATTCTCTTCTTTTTTTCTTCAGCTACACTAGATACTGCCCCCTCTCGAACTATTCAAAAAACAGGTTCGAATAAAGGTGCCAACCTCAAGAATAAGTCTGGAGGAATTAGAGTCAAACCGAAATCAAAGGCCAGTTATTCCATTTCCAGTAAGTATGGATCATAAATGAGTTCCCTTCCAGATATTAGAGGAAAGTGGTTGGAGTGAATGGTGGTAACTTCTACATAACATCCAAAGCAGACTTTCGTCTGTTGCTGGGATCTATATCAAATCCTTAGTGGAAGCCTCTTAGGCTAAATTAAGGATAAATGATCTGTTATTGAAAGCTCATCTTTTCTATATGTATGTGTGTATATATTTATATAGAAATAAAAACGATAAAATATTTATATGTAATTAATGGAACAATGAGAGAGCTGCAATAAACATAACAGTTAGTTAAGATTTAATATAAGGTAATCAATAGAAATATATTTAAAATTTTTATATTTAAAAGGTTTTTATTAAAAATGAAAAAAAAATAAAATAAACATTACTGACTAACAATGTTGAGCAAAAAAAGTTGTATTTATTTCTTGATTAAATGACAAGTTAATAGGTTGATAATATATATATATATATATGTATATATATATATATATATATATATATATATATATATATATATATATATATATATATATATATATATATATATTAAAGTGATTGAAATATTATTTATAGATAAACTACTAAGATATCAAAATAAACCAAACGTTTGTATAAACAGATTAATCATAATCAGATGAATGAAATATAAACTACATATATAATTACATCACAATTAACCAATTTTTAAAAATAGTTTACGAAAAAAATAAGTCAATGAATTGGAGACTAATGAATATCAATGATGAACATAAAATAAGTATATATATATATATTATATATATATATATATATATATATATATATATATATATATATATATATATATATATATATATATATATATATATATATATATATACAGTGGTGTGAAAAAGTCTTTGAACAAACCAATTTAAAAAAAAAATGATAAATGTTTCAATATAAAAGTGTTTTCATCTTATTAATTGTAAACTGATTCAACCATGCAGACATTGTAGATTTAAATATATTTCAATCCGTATGTATGTAGGTTAAGGGACCAATCAGTTGTGTTGTAGTTTTTTTGTCCTCCGAACAATGTTCCTTATTGTTCATATTTCACTTATTTGTTATACACTTCATCTTTAAACTTTATTGTTAAAGTCAAGAGCCATTGTATAAACTCTAGAAACATGAGTCTATCTATGAAAAATGAAAAATGTTCTAATATTGCAATTTCGCATTTCGTTTTGGTAATTTAATTTAACATTCTATATTTTTAAATTTCTTTTTTTTTCTACGTTACTTTTATTCCAGGAAATGCCAAATACTATATTTGTTTTCGTTATCTTGCTGAAAATTATATTTTTTCCAGTCAGCTAAAGACTAGATGGTATATAAATAAGGATCTTATTGTACCGTTTTGTATCTAGTATCCCATCTATTCACAAGAGGTCTCCAACCCCAGTTGAAGAAACACACCTCAAATCCAATAAGATGCCGTCTCCATGTTTTACTGTTGGTTATGAACATTCATCCAAAAATTGCAATACAAATCTTCTCTAAAATACTTTCTCCTTCCAAACCCAAACATTTCAAATTTTTACTCATCTCTCAATAAAAATTTGTTTCGTTCTTTTTTCGTCCAATTTTCATGTTCTTTGGAAAAATTAAGTCGCTATTGCTTGTTTAGAGATCGAAACAATGGTATTCTTTTGGCAACACAATCTTAAAGACAAAATGATACGAGTTTCTTTTTGATCATGGAGGATAGATTGATAGATTTTTAGCGATTGACTAAATTAATTATTTATTTTATTTGTCAAAGAAAATGCCTGTTCAAATAAATATATGGATATCATAAACAATTTTAGGTTTTAACTCTGGCACTAAGATCAAACATAACATTTTTAAACATAACCATAATCATTTTAAACGTTATTCAGAAACAGGAATATATATTTTTTAACCTACCTGAACGTTTCAAGTCTTCAGTTTGATTGATTTCTAACAACTTTTTAATGACATAATGAATTTCAGAAATAGAACCTTCAATTTATTTTTGAATTTCCCTGACTGTAAGTACTAGTTGATACAAAAATATAATTTTATCTCTATCAAACATATATTTTGCAATTATTTGAAAAAAAAAGTAACATTAAATAGAAAGAAACAGGAATTTTGGAACATTAAATGTCAAATTAAACTACTTAAAAAAGTGAAGAAATTCAATATTAAAACAATTTTCACAGATACACTCAGCTTTCAAGAGTTTATGTAATACCTCTTGATTTTAAAAATAAAGAGTAAAAACTGAATCGGATAGCAAAGAAGTGAAATATGACATAAATAAATCATTTTTCACAGGACTTAAAAACTTCAATTTCCCTGGATTGGTCCCTTCAATTCACAGTGGATTGGTTCATTAGCTAGTTAATTGAAAATAATGATAATTTAAATATATATTACATCAACATGGTTGAATCAGCTTACATTTCATAATTTAATCATTTATCATTTTTATAGAAATTTTGTTTGTCCAAAAAATTGTTTCACAACACTAATATATATATATATATAATGGATAGATATTATTTAATAGGTTTTCAGCCACAAGTCACCATAGAATACCAGGATACATTTTTGTTGTATATCTTTTTTGCCAAGTTTCGGCTTCTTGAGATATTTTCAACAATCTGTAAATTTTTTTTTTAAATATATTCACTTTTCTTTTATATATTTCAATTATTATGCATTGTCCTTATTCTATTTTTAAAAAAATAGTATAATACACAATAATTTTTGATTATTTTGGTTTTAAATTAATGTAATTTACCTACCTATAATGTAGATATTTATAAAATGTTGTTTATAATAACTACAAAGGGTGTCCCGCCAGTAGAGGAAAATTATTATAGGAGTGATAGTAGAACTCAAGACCAACAAAAACGTTTATATAAATAATGGGCCAATTTTCAGCAGAAAAGTAGAAATTCCAAGTTTTGTGGTTTTTGAAGGGTCGTGTTTTATGTTAAATAGGAAGGGATACTGAAATAAATATGTAATTTATGTAAATAACAATTACTCACTGTAAACTAGACAAAATTTACTTCAAACGGAAATAGATTTTATTATTGTTAAAATCATTTAAACAAAACTCTTGAGCGACCAAATTTAGCTAAATTCTGCTTTTAAAAAAAATCACCAACTCGCGATTTTTTTTCAACAACGTTCGAGTATACCGCAGATACCTCACTTTTAGAGAAACATCCTCGTTTAATAAGCTTTATGTCCACATCAATTAATTTGAGTTTTATTTGGAACAAAATTGAGATTCATCTCAAGTTGTTAAAGAAATTATGTGATTTCCTACCCTATCACTTTGAAGTACCCGTGCTTTCTGGAAAACTGACCGCAATTAACTGTTGCTAAGTTTTTGTTTTTTTTTATTGTTTTTCCGTGTTATGGAATATATCGTAATAAGCATAATTACCAAAAATACATATTTTATATATAAATATAAAATATTTAAAAATAATGATTTTTAAAATATTTTTAACTTAAAGTGGTTATGGCACTGTGTTTTTCTCCCAGATCTCCGCCATAGAAATTGATATGCATTTATCACTGACAAAATTTACGTTTCTAACTAAAATTTACGTTTAAAATAAAGAAATCTGCTGATTGCATCAATTATTTTCATGAAAACGTAAATAATTGGACTAGAAAAATTAAGTTTGTCACATATAAATACGCATTAATTCCTTTGACAGAAATATAATAGAAAGACAATTTCATAACCACCTTATATGAAAAATCATTATTTTTAATTTGATTATATTTATAAATAAAATGTGTTTTTAGTCAAGTATGTTTACTACAATACATTCCATATCACGGAAACGCCAGAGCTTTAATAACGAACGAATAATAACTATAATAATATCAAGAGAAAAAAAAAGCTTTACAACAGTTAATTATAGTTAACTGAAAGCACGGGTACTTTTAGGTGACTTGATAAAAAATCACATCATTTCTTTACTCAACTTGAGGTGAATCTATAATTTTTTCCTGATAAACTTCAAATTAATTAATAAGTACTTAAAGATTATTAAATGAGGTGAACTGGAGTAAATGTAGTACAATTGAGGGGTGATAACAAAATCACAAATAATTTATGACTTTTTCATAAACAGAAAGTAGCTATGTTTTTCCGCCCAATAGTCCTTTTTAAATGATTTTAACAATGACAAACTCTATTTTAATTTAAAGAAAGTTTTGTCTAGTTTACTATGCAGCAATGTTTAGTTACTTAAATCAAATACTTTCTAAGTTATTGCTTCCTATTCAACAAAAACGTGACTCGCTTCAAAAAGCAGAAATATTAAATTTACAACTTTTCTGCTAGAAATTGAGCAACTGTTTATATGGACTTTTTTGTAGATCTTGATGTGTACTATCAATCTTTTAAATATTTCCCTCTAATTACGGAATACCCTGTATATATTGCCAGGTGATCCATCCTTTATGTCATAGAATTTCGTTGATTAAAAAAAAAATCTTATATAAATCATTAAATATAATGTTAAATTTTATTTTTAAGAAAAGAAAGAAGGAATATAGTGATTTGATTTTGAAATATGTACCTTGTTTGTTGCAGACATTAAGTCTGATGTTCCTTATGTACACTCACTAAAGACTGGATTTATTTTTATTTAGTAGTGGAGGGGTTAGAAATCGATTGTTTTATCTGTTTTATTGAAGTCATATTTCGGTATTTTATATTTTTATTTTATCTATTAGGCTTGCATAAAACGTGCTAAGACTGTCTACATCCGTTTGTTGATTCACTGATTGTTTAGGATTTTTGTTATGAATATTAATTCTATAATTCTGCGTTTGTTAATATTTTGTTTTCTAAGTAGAATTGACGAGGTACCGAAATCATAGTTATTTCCATTGTTTCTGGTGCGTTGTGATAGTCCTGCCGCTAGATTTGATTTTGTAGTTTTTGACCTACAAATTTGTTGCAACCTACGTGTAAACCCTCGTGGGGTTTGTTCTTAGTATGCCTTATCTTAAGTCTTTGCATTCTATTTCATATATAAAAGTAGCCAATTTTTCTTTTGGAATACTGTCTTTAGTTTCACTGTGCACCTTTTCTAACTGATTAATAGTTTTATTTATAATATTATTTCGGATAGATGATACTTTTCAAATGTGTTTTCTATTTTATTGTTTAACTTTCTAATATATGTTGCTGAAAAATATTATTTGGGGTTTGGGCTTGAGATAAAATTCTGAAATTGTAGATCACGATTTTTCTTATCATTCTTTCGTTTTATAGTATCGTGTAATTTAAAATAGTTTGTGATTAGATTTGTTATTATTTCTGTATTTTTTTGTTAGTTTTTAGATCTTTATTGATATTTTGATCCTTCGTTAGTTCTTTATTATTATTATTATTATCTTCGTTTATCTTCATTTTATTTTTATGCCATAGTTTATTTATAAGCCTTATAGGATAGTAATTTTAAAGGAGAATTTCATGTATTTGCGCTTTTACGTCTTTAATATGTATTTCATCCGTTGTTAATTTATCTTTATCAATTAAAATTTTAGCTGTATTGATTTTCTGTTGTGTATTATGATTACTATGTCATTTCAGTATTCTGTTACTGATTATTTTCTTTTTACTACATGTCGTTTTTAGTAATCCTGTTTAGTTTCTATTTATATTAATGTCCAAAAATCTAATTATATTGTTATGTTCTATTACGTTTGTGTATTTTCGTTTTTTGGATAATGAATTTACTATGTTTAAAAAAAGTTTTTATTTTATTTTTTTTCCATAATCACCAGGACATCGTCAACATAATATATAAATATCTTAGGAACATTATAAAATTTGTTTATAGCATTCTCAAACAGGTAGTTTGGGTATATACCGCTAATATTTATCGAGATACCATACCCGCCCCCCCCATCAGTAGTCAATTTCTAATTTTGAAGAAATTGGCATTGTTCATGAAGTATCCGTCTTTACAGTTTCCGTTACAGACATGAAGTTTCCCTTTTATTTTTAATCGTTTTTGTCCAATATTTTGTATAGTCAAGAGGAATATTTGCCAAGAGGGATTCAGCATCATAACTGACAAAGCATTCATTATTTTTGATTTTATTTAAGCTATTTATCTTATCTTTGACTTAAATAGAATTCTTTACATCATATGTATTTTTATTATTAAGATTGTTTAGGACTGTATTAAGACCTTCTTTAGAAAGAAAAATTAACATTATATTTAATGATTTTTATAAAAATGTTTTTTAGAAAACAACAAAATTCCATGAAATAAAGGATAGATAACCTGACAATATATATAATAATGATATATTAAAGAAGAAAATTTATAAATGGTGCATGATTGGTAGGCAGTTTGCATTAAATTACATTAATATTAAACCAAAATAATCAAAAATTATTATGACACATACTATTTTTTTTAAACATAATATGGACGATATATACGAATGATTGTTTAACAATTGTAATATTTTAAAGACAAGTGACTACATTTAAAAAATAATTTTTTTTTTACAGATTCTTGAAAAGGGCTCAAGAAGCCGAAACGCTGGAAAATAAGGATATACAGTAAGAAGTATCTTATTGGTGACCTGTGGCCAAAAACCTATTAAATAATAACATAATAAAATGGCACCGAACCTAAAAAATATTTCAACAAAATTAGATAGATATTTGTTTTCCATATCTAACAAAACATGAGACTTCAGGATAAATAAAAGCATTGAAACATTTATCTTGTTCATCACAAATATTTAGCATGTTTGAGAAGTCATATTACTTCAATCATTCACTATTTTAGAGGAGAAGTCTGGAGATGAAGTTGAAACCAGTGAAGCTGAAATAGCAGAGCCTGTTGTCAAGTCTCCACCTGAGCCTACAAGAGTGAAATCACCTGAGCAAGTTTTAATGAGATCTCCTGAACCAGTAAATTGGACAGTTCCTCTAGATACAGGGAAAACATTTACCGTCACTCAAAATGTTTCAGAAGGTATGTAAACTCCAAATTTACTACTTATCGATCAAATATAAGTACTTGGTTGTGTGATACAAAATGTCGGTAATGATTTGTTAACAATGCCTTTAAATTAATATTAATAAAATTATTTTTATATCTTATTTTAAAGGTTTGTGTAAATTAATCATTATAGACAAAAGTGAGCTTCTTGTATTTGATTGTTGTCCTAACTTGTTCTAATTTAGTCTCATAACAAGATTGTAAATAACCTACTAAACGTTAATTGTTAAATAATTTGTTTGTTTTTTTTGGTGGGAATAGGCGCATGGTCTTCCGCTTTTATATCGGGGAACTAGGTTATTTAAACTCGTGAATTATTAAAACATAACCCTGGCACTGGATATAGACTTTTTGAGGGTGTTTAACTGTTGTTGGGAGTTCGGTAATCTAATACCTTTTGTGACACTGAGTGAGAAGAAACAATAAGAATATATATTTGAAATGTGGGACTTAGTAAATACAGTTTGAATGAATTGACTCACCTGGTTTGTTATTCTTCAATCTTGAGGCATATAGGACAACTAAATAAATAAATGACTTTTCACTCCTGTATAACAAAATGATTTATTTCTACAACTGTAATAAATTGACTCTATTAAATTGTTATAACTATAGACTTGATCTTCTAAATCTTGTAGTAGACTCTCTTCCGAGGTATGTGTTCCGCCTCAATGTCCTGCCTCAAGTGTTTGGCGTCGTCTTCCAGCTGCTGCTACCTGACCGGACCTTTTTCCTTCTTTATCGATTGTTTGTCGATATGAGATTTTCCAATGAGCAATTTGTCCACTGCACAATTGAGTACAATTCACAGTGCAACCTCACATTCCTATATATTATATATTCCTTCTCATTCCCTCACCCAATGTTACATAAAGGAGTAAGAGAGGGGATGTCTACTACAAGATAGAAGCATCTCTATAAAATAAATAACATATTAAGCAGTTTTTTTGTATTAATCGTCATTCAAGCGGATTAATACAATAAATGGTCAATAGAATTATTAGGAAACCTTTGCTGGTTACAGATAAAGTGTCAGCCTAGGACATCAATAATTAAAGCATCTATTGTTATATTCATAATGAATATATTACATCATGTATGGATAATTTTTATTTTTAAAATGTATTTATTATAATATTTAACTACTCTTTCTTATACATGAAATAATACTCCCTTAAAGTGAAAAAAACTGTATTAAAAAGATTTAAGCTTTTAAAAAAAAAAACATTATATATTATTAATGATAACATACTAATAGTTTATTCATATTGTATAACATATTTTATTAATGTTCGTCTGATGATAAGATAATATAATAGCTTTATTTAGTTTTGATATACCTGGTTTGTTTATATTAAACTGATAGTTTTGTTTGTATTAAACTGATTTACTTGAAATAATGTTAGCGTTATTAATTAAGAAGCTTTTATCATATTTTTGTAGCTTATTAATGACAAACAAGAGTACAAAATGCGGATGGCGAAATCGATCACAAGGTTAACTTCACTTAGACATGGAAAACAGTGTAACCACCAATGCCTACCATATAATACATATCATCAATAAGAAATACCTTTTCACACTTATTTGCCTATAGCTCAATTTAATAAATAATTAAAACTAGTATTTGATCAGTATTTATTAATGAACGTTTCGGTGAATCTTTGTCCCCCTCTTCAACAGCTGAAATAATACAATTAATATATTGTAAGCTCTATCATGATCCAGTCAGTTTGAACTTTGAAATTCATAACATTAAAAAAAAAAAAGTTTGGCTTACTTAACACATATTTGTCCATTTCATATTTACACGTCCGGTGAGTTTTTGCACCGCTATTCCTGAAGTTTCGGAATCTCTTTATTTCTGTTTATTAAAAATTAGAATTTAATTAATAAGAAAAGAACAATTTTCGTCATTCGGACGAACATTTATTAATATAGGTGTAGAGATGGTTGACCGTGATTATGATATGAAAAGGAGTTGGTCCGGGGTACGGTCAAAAAAATACTATAAACTATAATTGTGTTTTATTATTTACTTCGATGTTTTGACCCACTTTCTAGGTCTTCATCAGGGCTACGAAAAATGCAAAATGTAAAAGGTACACTGTGAAAATAAAATAAATGAATTATTAGTAGATATTAAATAAGAAACAGTTGTCTGATAAAGAAATAATAAGATGATATCAGTGATATAGTGGGTGATAGTGTAGCTAACATATCAAGTATTATATATATATATATATATATATATATATATATATATATATATATATATATATATATATATATATATATATATAAAATACTTATATATAAAAGACCTTGTAGATCTTTGGCCGCCTGAACCAGTCTTCTCCACCTCTGCCTATCTTTTGCTACTGCTTTCCATTTTGCGGCATGAAGCTCAGCCGTATCTTTGTTTATCCTATCTATCCATCTGGTTTTTGGCCTCCCACGTGGTCTCTTGCCTACTACTCTGGCATTCATTGTTGTGTAAAGGCGTCCTGATGGATTGCTACGAGCTACATGCCCTGCCCATCTTAACCTCCTTGCCTTCATGTCATGAGATATTGACTGACCTGTTTCTTTCAGCAGTTCTTTATTGTTCCTTCTCCTCCATGTGTCAAGGTTCTGGTCCCATACAGGTCCTGTTATCCTACGTAGAACTTTTCTTTCAAATCTCTCAATTCTGGCTTCTAGTGTGCCGGTTAGAGTCCACGTTTCACAACTGTACAGCAGAATTGGCATAATCACTGCGTTGTACACCCTTATTTGTAGATTTCTGGAGATTTTTCTGGATTTCAGTATCCTTGAAAGAGGGAAGAAAGATCTGTTCGCACTTGTTATTCGCTGGTCTATCTCTGTTAGTTGATCATTTATTTGAATTTGAAGTATTTGAATCTGTCTACTTTCGGGAATGACTTAGAGTACACGCAGATCATGTTATTAGGGTGGATATTTCGGCTATTATGTATTTTGTTTTATCTACATGGACTTGTAGTCCGATCTGCTCTGCTTCTTTTAAGTTATACATATAAACAGGGCTTAAATGGCCAATTTTCAATATTAGCTCATCTAAAGTACCTTTAATTTTTTTTTTATTTGAAATAATTAACGATTTCACATTAATCTTTGATATGAAAATAGTTAAATATAAAATATGAAAGAAATTTATCATTAACTAAAGGAGAAAAAAGAGATTGTAACGGCTAATAGTTGTAATGGTGGAACCAATGGAATTCGAGCGCGCTCGAGCTCACCCGTGCTCATCCGAAAGATTATAACATGCTTCCATACGTAACATGAGCTTAATATAATACAGATTCCGACAATATTATGCACATATACATATACGGTTAAATTTGACAGCATGTCCAGTCATTGAAGATATTATACATAGCTAGAATGTGTTCGTACATTAATACATACAAAATTATTTTAAATATTTTTTAATTAACTTTAGGCGGATCATAGCAGCTCAAATTAATAAGAATTTCTCTTCAACAATGACTCATAAGATATTAATAGAAGTCAATTTTCCGGAGGAATCGGAGCTGTTTTTAAATCGCAGTCTTGGTAAAAAATTGATTTAAAAACATCTATTTTCCTTAGCAAAAAAGGAAAAAGATTCGGAGTAAAATAAGTTGTTTACATTCTAGTTTTTCTTGCAGCAGGGTCGCCTGATGTACGTCCTCTTGGAGAAAAATAATGTCCTAGATGTGGGAAATTGTCTGTTATAATCTGGAGGGACCTTTGCGTTTTCCAGAGAAATTGTGACTGAATGAAGGACCTCTTGGAGGTAGTTGTTCATCTAACGCTATACTGGCCTTTTACAAAGTGATATCATGTGATCCGACGTGAGGCAATCTGTGCCGGAAGTGGCCGAAAATATCGCTGGGACGTATCGGGTGCATTACATATATAGGGCTAATCATAATCTATGGTAATAAAGTTAAAATAAAATGGTTTCTATAAAATGGTATGGAAACAAAAAAAAAAAACAATAAATTAAAATAAAATAACTTATAAAGGAAGGAGATGGTGGCGGTCATAAATAGGCAAAATAGTAGCAAAACTATTTTTTAAAAAGCCAACGTTTCGACCCGACTTTGTAGGTCATCTTCAGGGAGGTGCCTTCAGCTAGGAGTTTCACTTAGAGACCTATTTTCACTTAGAGGAGTTTCCTCCAAGTGAAACTCCTAGCTGAACACACATCCCTGAGGAAGATCTGCAAAGTCGGGTCGAAACGTTGGGTTTTAATAAAATAGTTTTGCCACTATTTAGCCTATTTATGACCGCCACCTCGGACCATCTCCTTCCTTTGTAATGCAACGGTCAACTATTAATTATTCAATAAAATAACTTATGTTTGCCGCAACAACTTCTATTTTCAATACCATCCAATTACTGCTGAAGAAATACAATAATATAGTCTCAAAATATTTTATTAAAATTAGAGATAAAAGAAAAGCAATCATTAAATAGAAAATAAACAGTTAAATGAAATTAGTTTTGGCAATGTTTTAATATTGGACAAAGAAAAAAATATATAAATATAAAAGATAATTTATTTATAAAAAAATATCTGAAACAAACATTAAACATAAAAAAAAGAACTAAAGATTATTCCGAATAGACGGAATGAAATTATAAATAAATTCATTTATATATGCCCTCTTCAACCCTAAACGCACTTTGGTCTTTTTAGTTGAGTGTTTGATCATTGCCAAAGCGTATTCTAATTAATCTATAATAGATTCATTTTGAATGTATTAAGTAACACCAGAAGTCGTAATTATTTTAAAATTTAATTATTTATTTATTTTTTAAAACTATTTATTCACGATATTTACAACTGTATTACAATATAAATGTATCAAGTAAATGTGTAAACAGGAATATAATCACATGAAAACGTTTGTTAAAAAACTACACATTGATTATACATTTGACACAAGAAACTACACTTT